ACCATGACCCAGGGAGTGAAGAGTTAGGACCATGACCCAGGGAGTGAAGAGTTAGGACCATGACCCAGGGAGTGAAGAGTTAGGACCATGACCCTGATTAAACACAGCTATGAAAAGGAAATTCAGATCGGGGACGCCACCATAACTGATTTAAAAGTCTGGTGGGCCGGAGAGGTTCAAGGATGCTGTAGTGTAAGGCTCAAGAAGACATGTGGCAGCGTATTCAAACCTTCGTCACCCACCACGTCCGCGACCTCAGCCACTGGTATCAGAATTTTCTGGATGAGAGCTGCAGCAAAGACCGTGTGGCTTGAATGGTGCTTAATTCAAGTCTTCGCTCAAGTTTCTCAGCAGATCGTTTATAGTGGGAAGCAGCGGGCTTATGCAGTAGGCGGGCCCATTGTGTTATTAGATAATTATATTTGTACATTTAGTTTAGAGGTAATACAGATTATGTGGTGAAAAATATTTTAAGATACTTTTTTCAAAGGCATCTGCTGAAAGTGTCACTAGAAATTGTGCTCAAATCCATCAATTGTTACCAACTGTTCATCGATAAGTAGAACCTATTATAATTCAGAACTTTTATATATAATTACATAATATTACTGGTTATATGGGAACAATGAAATTAACATAAAATACAAAAATAAACATATTATTACAAGGGTATACAGGTTTTTCATTTATTTACAGCGGTGACTGATATGCAATTAATAAGAGATATGACCCACCCCAACTACCAATGATTTTGATTGCACAAAGTGTTGGCAAGGCCTTGAAGTCGAGGAAAATTCTGGTGTAAAACATGTTAAATACTGACCCAAGCAAACCAAAAGAAACCTGACCTAAGTTTACGAAGTTCATATATTCTTGGTTTTTATCTTTCAAAATAAAAATTAGCACATGCTTTCGTTCGTATATGTACTCTACCAAATCCTCAACCAAATTCGAGTCCTAACGTCGACATATTTGACAATATTTTCAATATGTTCTAACGTCTTGTCTTCCCAATATAATTTCCTGATTAAGGTGACAAAGTTTCGGCCATAGCCCCGTCAAGAGAGGTTTTAACTGCTCTATCAACTATTAATTTTGCAAAATAATATTGTTCAAGAAAAAGTATAGGGTAACGGGTAAGAAGGGTCTATGCTTCCTCGACATCGGATCACACAGTCTAAATCAAAATATCGTTTAGTCCCAAAATCATGATTAATGTAATGTGCTGGGACCCTTCCTTGGGCACCAGCTTATACACCTCCCTTTGTATTGCTTAAACCCAATATTTCAAGGGATTTGGCACATCCACTTTTACCTTAAGTCTTTAAAAACTTGAAAACTAATTTAGAAGTGTTCAGTAATTTTTCCAGCTAAGTAAATCTATTTATGTGTATTATAGATCTGTGAGGAATAATAATGGGATCTATTTCTGGTAGGATTTTTTGGAATCTGTCAATTTTCATGAGCAGGTAACCATTCTGGACCCTCAAACCACAACAAATCCTTCATTAATTTCGAGTCTGTTGAACCTCGAGACAAATATCAGCTGGATTCCCGTTAAATGACCATTGTTGTGTTTCACTATTTGGAAGACGTATTTCTCACCAAAAAGTTGAAGAATAGGATAGTAGTTTATCATGGTATGTTTGCCTAGTAATAGACGAAATTTATTCACAAAACACAAATTATCTTACCTTGAGAAACACACAAAATACAGAGAAGGAATGCGTTTTGTGTCACTTCACCTTACGGATTTTTGACGTTTTTTCCGTACAAGAAGGAGCAAGTCTTGACCTGCTGTCCGACCAATGGGTTCTTTTTAATCAGAGATTGTTGTTTTTCATCCTGGAGATTTTGTATCTACATAATATCAACTCAAGTTCTTATTTTTTTTAACAATCCCTCAAACAGCATTAATGGAGTAAACGGAAAAACCTGACGACAATATTATTCCTGAAATTACTTTGGCTAAAAAAAGTTTTCAAGTAAATTCGAATATGACATTATTGGCACCCAAAAGGTCAATAGGTTGAAATTACTTAAGCGGCAAAATATTCTCAGTTGTAATCTTTCTTAACTTACCAGACCTCACCTAAAATACTTCAGTAACTTCCCATATTAATTTCCTAAAGTAGAATAGAATTCCTCTCTTAGAAAAGAACCATTCCAACAGTGTAAACATGACACCAGTGGCGGCCGTCTCCCTCCGCCCATTTCCTAAGTCAAAACAAATATCTCGGAAAAAGTCTTTATCCTGCATTTTGTCTGTTTCTCGAGGTAAGAAAGCCTTTATCTTCTATGGAGAAATTTCATCAGGTAGCAGCTGAGGCAGGAGCAACATCTTCAATATTACCAAAAATAGTAAAAATACTCACTAGTGGTCTTGCTGGTGACGTCATCCCTAGGTCACTAATTATCACTTAAAAAGGATCACTAATTATCACTTGTTACACAAACGCTCATTAAATATTTCAATATCACTCACTATATAATCACTTAACACACAGGTGTGATTAATAATATTTTCACCAATAAATTCTTCCATAAGTTTGACAACAGTTTGTTTACATCACAACTGTTAATCTTGGCATAACACTTTAAACTTTCTCACCTCTCCACACTATAGCTTTTATCTTAGGTGTTTGTAGCGCCATTATTCTAGTAATGTTTTACAGAGTACATGTGGGAATCTCTTTATGGCAGTAAATTATGTGGGAGACAGTAGACGGTGACCACTGGTTGGACCAAGGTGGTGACTGGTGACCGTGGTGGCGTGGATGGTCAGCAGGGCACACACTCTTTGTCAACGTATATAAAGGAAGGAAATTGAACTTCTCATAAAACCTATTATTTTCTCTGTTGCCTCCGATTGACACGCCATCTATGGAGGCACGGCATAAAGACCGCTTTGGTATTACATGGGTAACTACGAATAATTTAAATAATTCTGTTTCATCCTTTGGGTATTTTTAAAAATATTTCTTCAAAAGCAGTTTTGTTTTTATTCATATTCGTGGACAGTATTTAATTAGGTTTAATTTTATATTTAAATATTTCAATTACATATTTAATTTACATTTTCTTTAATACTCACTGTATATATAAGCAGGTGAATCAATCGTGGTGACGCTTATCTCCGAGATTATTTTAGATAATTGATAAGAAAGGTTAACACCGAGATAAGGAAAACAAAAGAAAATTATCAAATAAAAGTAACAAAAATATAAATCTAATAAGTCGTCAGGTCCCGAAGAGATATTTGCCAGAGTATTAAAACATGTAAAGAAGAACTTAGTCTGCCTTTAGCAAACTTGTTAACATTTCATTAAAAACTATCAAGGTCAATAGAATGATCCTACACAGGCCACTGAGATCCTTCCTCAGGGTGGCCGCCTCTATTTGGGTGGCCATTATGCAAATAAGGCAAATAGGAAAAACATTCTAAGGTAGTGATTAACCTGTGCAGCCGTTAGAGTATTACCCAAATTAGAATATTATATTTACGGAAAGTACAGAACATTTGACGGTTCTCTTTCCTGATATAATATATACGAGGTACACTGTACTGTATATGGATGAGGAGAAACCATTGACGATTTTCATAAATAATACATGAAAAATCTCCTGACTTAAAAGTTTCTCGGTAAAGATACAGTAAAGCACAAGGACCGGAATCACTAAGAAAAAATGTTTTATTCATTTCAAATTGATTTAAAAAATTCTGACCTTTATTTCTGACGGAAACGAATACTTATTTACATATGATCCATCTCCACCACCAATAAGTGGGGTGGGGGGGGGAGGGGCAGGTCTTGTGAAATAGAGGGAAACTGTGGGGTAAAACCGTGTAAAAAAAAAACTGACCCAAGGAAACCTGGCCTAACTTTAAGTAGTTCACGTATTCTTAGCTTTTATATTTTATCTTCCTTAATAAAAGTTAGTACAAACTTTCGTGCATGTACTCTAGCGAATCTTAATCAAATGTACTCCAAAGTTGTTTTACTATCTGGGGGATTTACTGATAATCAACGAATAGGAAGAGCAAGAAGAGGTGATAAGGACAGTGATAATCAGTAGTACTTTTGTGATGCTGATTTATTAGTGTTCTTCAGATAGATTAGTAGGATTATAACACTACCTCTTACAACCATTAGTGTTACAGTTTATAATAGAATATACATATACAGTTGGCTATGGACGCTGAACATTGGCTATGTACTATACCGATCACCACTACTGCTACCATCACTCACTCAGCCTTCCACCACCACTGCTACCATCACTCACTCAGCCTTCCACCACCACTGCTACCATCAATCACTCAGCCTTCCACCACCACTGCTACCATCAATCACTCAGCCTTCCACCACCACTACTACCATCACTCACTCAGCCTACCACCACCACTGCTACCATCAATCACTCAGCCTACCACCACCACCACTACCATCAATCACTCAGCCTACCACCACCACCGCTACCATCAATCACTCAGCCTACCACCACCACTGCTACCATCAATCACTCAGCCTTCCACCACCACCATCAATCACTCAGCCTACCGACACCACCACTACCATTAACAACTCAGCCTACCGACACCACCACTACCATCAATAACTCAGCCTACCACCGCCACCTACCATGCAGCCTTCCACCACCAGTAATACCATTCACCACGCTTCCTACCCAGGGGCGGATCCAGGGGGGGCCTGCAGGTCCAGACCCCCTTTTCATCAGAAAATTCCAATGCTTTTCGAATACAATATTTTACTTAGGCATTTTTGTATAGTAAAAAGAAATCGCTGTTGACCTCAGAATATCTCCTAATGTCAAGTGCACATGGCCTTTAAAATGACGTCAAAATGCCCATGATATTGGTTAGATTTCAAAATATTTTCTGGGGTCTACAGCGCCCCCCCCCCCCAAAAAAAAACCAGCTGGGTGGGCTTATTGCGCTCGCCATGTTCCCTCACCCACAACTTCTTGGACCCCCCCGCCCTGGATCTGCCCCAGCTACCACTACCATTATCCCCACTACTTTCTCCTCTCTGTCACTGATCGGTTTGTTTGTATCTGCACCTCCGTCAGTGTGTCAAATTTGGTTTTGAATACTCTCACACTAGGTGACGTCTCAACACTCTCCGACAGATTATTCCAAGAGTTCACAATTCTCACTCTCAAAAAAAGTTTATCACGATAGTTGTCTAAACTTTTGGCTAAATAATATATCACTAAATAAATACACACATTACTACTCTCAACTCCCATATACTCTATAACTTAATTGGCAGCACAACGTAATCAATTAATAAAAGAAAAAACTGTCTAAACCAATGACTGAACCAAAGTAAAAAAAACTGTCTCGAACAACCAGTTATGAATGTATCAACTGCACCCACCACACACCCTTTCTCTTCTTCATCATCATCATATCTCCACTCGTCCTCCTCCTCATGGTTGACCAATGATCAGCTCCAGGAAGAAAGTGAGGGCGGCCAACATGACACCTGGAGGATTAAGAAAAGAGAGTTACTTCACACTGAGACCATGGTGAGAGGAGGCATCAAGTCTAGACGAGCGAACAGTGAGAGACCATCCCACCCTCCTCCCTCCCTCCCTATCCATTACCTTTCCCTCTCACTACCATCTCCTTCCCTCCCACCCTTCCTCCCTCTGCATTACCTCTCTGTGTTTGTACAGAACGAGAGGATGAAAGAAGGTTAGAGAAGGGAAAAAGGAATTAATAGTTCGAAAATTGAAGAAGTGTGGAAGGTGTTAGTAGTTGACGACGAGTTACTGTCTTCCTGGTGTTGGCATGACGGGAGTGTAGCCTGTCGGTGTATTACTGTGGTGTTGAAGAGACTTGTTTTTACTTCCTTCTCTCCCTACCATTATCCCTCCCTCTACAACATCCTTCCTTCCTTCCTTCTTTCTCTCCCTCAACCCCTCTCCCCTCTGCTGCCCCTCCCCCACCTCCTTCCATACATTCCATCACCTCTTCCCTTCCTTACCACCTCCTTCCTTCTTCTCCACCTCCTACTTTCTTCCTTCCCTCCCTCCCACTTCACTACCTCCTCCTTCCTTCCTTCTTCCCTTCTTCCCTCTCCACCATTTCCCTCTTTCCTCACCGCCGGCGTAGATGGCGAAGACGCCGTAGAAGTCAGTCACCTCGAGGGCTCTCAGCTCCTGGGTGTCAACGGTGGCCGTCACTGGCTTCATGCAGAAGGCGGCGTGAGGCATGGACCGCATCACCAGGTGTTCCAAGATGCCCATTTCTTTTAATCCGCGGATGCTGTAGAGAGAGAGAGGGTGGTGATGATAATGGTCAGGTTATTATGGAATTGAATGTTACACGGCATTTCAAATAAATTGTTTGTTTAGTTCTATACATAAAGGGTAACTTATTGACAACTGCGTGAGTACAGGAGTGTGAAGCAGTATGTCTGGCAGCACACTTTGTTATTCACATTTGCGTGAGAGGTATTCAAGCACATTGTGTTTAGTTCTATACATGGGAACTGATGTAGCTACTAAGTGCAGAAAAGTGGATACAAGCTTAATATGTCAATTATCTTACCATTACAGATAAAGTGTTGTGCATTTCACACTCAGTGTGCTTGGACCTGTCCCTAAAAGGTTCTATCTTCACACAGTCGAGGACGTAGTGTTCAAGTGTGTGGCCATACGTTTGACCACACACTTTACATTTAGTTTTGTTTACATCTGCTTGAGGGATATACTGCCAGAAGTATTTATATCCTGACCTTAGTCTAGCGGTTACAACATCTTGTAATCTAGTGATCTTGTTACTTACACCATATACATGTTTCACTTGATACATCTCTGGTGGTAGTGGTGGTGGAGGTAGTGGTGGTAGGGGAAATATATTCAATTACAGAGAGAGAGAGAGAGAGAGAGAGAGAGAGAGAGAGAGAGAGAGAAGCAACTTACACTCTGTCCACTCGTGTCTTCAGGGGTGATCCTTTAGGCATCATAAAGACCATTGATCTGGCCCCCAGGATCCTCTCAGACATGATGTACAGTATACACTCACCATCCTGGAACAACAACACTCTCTCACTACAATGGACACAATGACTGTAGATGGACAAAGAAATGACAACGTGAAGATTAGGTACTCTAATTTATTTCACCTGTTGCTTAAAATGCACCATCCCTGTTCTATCTTGCCATAGCTTAACCTAACCTAACCTTACAAGTTAAGTTAGTGTGTTTAATCTTCTAGAGATCCCAACTAGAAACCTTTACTCATAATATGTTTCACGTAACGACCAATGAAATGACATAATATTAGAGAAATATGATTCATAGATTTGTTTAAATGGCATTCGAAAATTACTCAATCTACTTAATAAACAAGGCAGGATGAGAGTCACCGTGAGTTTATACAGGTTGAGGTAGAACATAACGATGAACAGAGGTGTGGAGCAGGCAAAGTCTCCTTCCTTCGAATCTTTGGCGGCCTTTACCATGTCCACCGGCACAATCAGCTGTTTTTTGAGGGACCCCAACTTGGAGGTGACATCTGCCTCCTGTAGAAGAGAGAGAGAGAGAGAGATAGAGAGAGTGTGAGAGATAGAGAGAGTGTGAGAGATAGAGAGTGTGTGAAAGAGAGATATTAGTAATAAATGCATTTCAAAATTGCTCCAAAAGTAGGAAATAATTTAATAAAGAGTGTCCTGCACATGGGTCGTCACCCCACGTACCATGATGGCCTGGTGGACAGCGTTACCCTCCGGCACGCAGAGAGAGATACCCGTGGCTTCCAGCTCTTGGATGGTGTTGAAGGGGAGGCGCACCTTGGGCATGATCAACATGGCCTTCAGGTTGGAGCGATACACCGACCCCAGGATGAGTGTCGTCAGCAGCCAAAAACCCGGCAACACCCGCACCCACGCCCTCTGGGGTTCCCAAGGTACGGCTAGAGTATAAATGGAGGAGATTCGGAGTCAGTGAGGCGCTAATGCGGGTGTCGACGGCCCCAGTTGGCCCCTGGGGCTCTAGTGGAATGGGAAGAAAAGGGGTTTGGGGGTTAGCAAGGTCTTACAGTACCTGTGGGGAGATAATATCATTGGTTAAAGGTGGGAAGAGGTTATATTAAAGAGCGAGACACTCACACCACCTCATCGCTAACCCCTAAAACCCGTTCAGGAGGAGTGAGAAGGTAAGGTTTAAAAGAGGGAATTCACTAACGCCGGCCAAGGAGGATGACAGTGGCAGCGGGCCCCATAGCCATGACGGTCAGGTAAGGACTGTGTGGATACATCACATTGTGTATTTACTAAGCCATTAGTACGCAAAGAGGCAGCGTGGTCGGTACTGCAACAGACCACCATCATTTCCCCAGCGAGTGACTCTAAGAACAAGAGGTTAACACAGTATCCACTCGACTAAACAATGTACAGTACTAACACTGGCCAACCAGGAGTGAGTAGGTCCACAGGATGGACTTCTCAGCTGTGTAGATTAAGTCTCCACCTTTCCTCTCCTCCGTTACTCCAGTTCCTTCACCTTCAACTCTGTGTATGTGAGAACGTGAAGAGTTGTACAGTGATTAGCTGACACGTACAATTTGTTCTTTAATTGATTATCAGGTAATCTAATTGAATACTTATTTGATTGATAAGTTGATTGATGGATTTCAGTGGACAGGATGAATGACTGGTTAATTATCTGATAGGTAACTGATTGACTGATTAGCTGGCAGGTACGCGGACCAGATGAAAGGTACCGACTCACCTGGTGTAGTGGAGGAGGTGACTGGCTTTGAAGACTCCCCAGGTGAAGGCGAAGGTGACCACCACACTAACCAGCACCAACACCCAGAGCTGTGGTGGAGGAAATGTTGGAGATAGAAGGTGTGGTGGAGATATAAGGTGTGGTGGAGACAATGGTGGAGACATAAGCAAGTTTGCGGATGACACCAAAATAGGGCGGCAGATTAATTCAGGGCAGGATGCAAATGCATTACAGGAGGATCTAAATAAACTGCAGGGGTGGTCTGAAAAATGGCAAATGAAATTCAGCACCAGCAAGTGCAGCGTACTTAATATTGGAAGAACAAATACTGATTATGTATACAGCCTTAACAACATCAACCTAGAGAAGTCGACTTATGAAAGAGACCTAGGGGTACTTGTAAGCCTGGACCTACGGCCTAGAAAACAGTGCGTTAATGTTCGAAATAAGGCAAACAGAGTATTGGGTTTTATATCTAGAAGTGTAAGTAACAAGAGTGCAGAGGTCTTATTGCAACTATATCTTGCGCTAGTTAGGCCGCACCTCGATTATGCGGTTCAGTTCTGGTGCCCCTATTATAGAATGGATATAAATTCACTAGAGTCGGTGCAGCGAAGAATGACGAAAATGATTCCGGGACTTAGAAACCTTCCATACCAGGATAGGTTAAAGAAACTAAACTTGCATTCCCTAGAAAGACGAAGAGTGCGGGGAGATATGATAGAAGTATTCAAGTGGGTGAAAGGAATCAATAAAGGGGATATAGATAAAGTTCTTATAATATCCGAGCAGGATAGGACTCGGAGCAACGGATTCAAGTTGGATTAGTTTAGGTTTAGGAGGGAGATAGGAAGGAACTGGTTCACAAATAGGGTGGTGGACGAGTGGAACAAGCTTAGCAACTTTGTAGTAAGTGCGGGAACTCTGGAAAGTTTCAAAAGGAGGCTAAATAGATTCATGGACGATAGAGAGTGGTAGTAACTCTCGACAGGAGCTGCCATGCACAGGCCAACCGGCCTATTGCAGACTCCTTATTTTCTTATGTTCTTATGGTGGAGATATAAGGTGTGGTGGAAACAATGGTGGAGATATAAGGTGTGGTGGAGACAATGGTGGAGATAAAAGGTGTGGTGGAGACAATGGTGGAGATAAAAGGTGTGGTGGAGACAATGGTGGAGATATAAGGTGTGGTGGAGATTATATGGCCATTACAGTGTGGTGGAGACAATCGAGAGTATGAGGAGGAGGAAGGTGGTGATATTGGCCAGAACATACCAGAGGCGTGAAGGGTTTGATGAAGCCCTGAAGGTCGGCCTCAAGCACTGGCCTCTTGTAGGTCACCACAAAGTCATCCATAAAGAGAGGCTCAGAGAAATCCGTGTAGTAAGTCCTCTCCCAGGTCAAGGTCAATGCCGAGGTCAGGTCAGCCTCCTATATAAGGGGTCACGCCAGGGGAGACAAGATTACCAGAAAATTAGACACCCAGCTTATTTCACATGATGATCAAACACTCTAACGCTTACCTAACATAACCTAACCTAATTTTAAATAGTCTAACCTAACCTAACAATTTCTAAACTAATCTTAACTAACTTAACCTTACCAAATCTAACGTAACCTAACGTAATTTATTGCAGCACACAGGAAGGGTCCTCACTGAGCGGTTGATGAGGCCAAGAGACCCGGTCAGCGTGCCATTGGGGAGGCGATGTCCAAACAACCCGTCGGGGGGCACCACGAACTGGTAACTAAAAGAACCATGACTATTACTATTATTGCCGCTATTGCTATTACTACTACTACTATTATTATTGTAGGTATTATCTGTACAGTATCTATAAAAATAATAATAATAAAAAATAGCAATAATAACAGCAATAATAATAAATACTAGTAATAACACAGCTACTACATGAGTTACGACTTATAACAATAACAAAAATTATCCCATTCCAATAATATTCCAGTTAAATTATCTTTCTCTAAATTCATCTTTGACAACATTCCAGCCAATCAAAAACCAGAAATCACGTGAAGAATAAACACCCCAGCTTATTTCATCTAATAAATGCACTAACGTTATCTGAAAGGGGAAGGGCTGGGTTAGATTAGAGTGTTTAATAAGCTGTGGTAGTACGAATTCTTCAGGTGAACCAGACACACGGCGGTGGACTTACCAGGTGTTCAGGTATCTGGCTAAAATATCGAAGACCTCCACCAGGAAGCCGCCCACCTGATAGGGAGTTGTCCTACCTGCTACTGTCATAAATGGTGGGTTCTGTGGGAAAGTCAAGACGTGTAGAATAAATATAATAATCTATACTGTTATCTCTATATACATATTTCTATACATCTATATACACCAACGGGAAATAGTTTTCAGTATGGGAGATTTACAATTATTCGCCTTTTTTTGTAAGTTTCAATACTGCGAATCTTTTAAAAGGTCGCCGAGTCAGTAACTTAAGAGGTGTGTCTTGAGTTGCTGGTTCCTGAACTATAAATTTAGCTCACTGTAACTTACAAAATTTGCTGCAATCTTGAGACATTTTCCATCCCTTGACATCCTGTAGCTGACGTGAAGACTTACAGGTGACGCTTCTTCAGTCTCCCAAGTCTCGGTGAGGTCTATGTGAGTCCCTGTAGTTGTCTGTGGTAGCCTATGTGACGCCCCTTCGAGACTAACGTAGGTTCTGAGGCTCCCTATAGAGACTGGCGGAGGTTCTGAGGCTCCCTATAGACTGACGTAGGTTCTGAGGCTCCCTATAGACTGACGTAGGTTCTGAGGCTCCCTATAGAGACTGGCGTAGGTTCTGGGGCTCCCTATAGAGACTGGCGTAGGTTCTGAGGCTCCCTATAGACTGACCTCGGTTCTGAGTCTCCCTATAAACTGACATAGGTTCTGAGGCTCCCTATAGAGATTGACGTAGCAGAGAGATAGCCAATGCAACTTCCTTCTCTTATAGGGTTTGTACTTAACAGAGCAGCAGAGGTTAGGACGTGCACTTCCCTCTGAGTCCACGGGGGTACTGACCACCTCTCTCCCCAGCTTTGCCATCCAACCACACACACAATGATGCTCTCGTAAATAAAAAAAAATGGCTCTCCTCATTAGTCTCACTGAATAAATCTGTCTGATCTTTTCTTTATATCACCCTGTGGAAAGTTCATAACAAGATCGGTTGGTCTAGAACTTTAGGCGGGCGAGAGACACAAATGGTGATGAACTTTGTATTGTGTGTGAACTTGTGCTGTGATTGATCTTTGTTGCGGTAAAAAAATAGCAATCGAATTTTTTGACGCTGGATGAAATGATTTATTGGATTCGAGTTAGTGTTTTGACGTGAATAGACGAAATTTCAGAATATAGTTTTTTTTTTTACTTCCTTGATGAGATCGTAATAAACCTGTTCTCACTACTGACTCGTATTCAGTTACTCCCGTTAAGCCTTGGGATGGTACAGCGACTAGATTATCAGATGGTCGTATAATTACAGAATGTTAGAATAAGAAATGTAGACCATCAAGGCATTATGATCCATTTATATTTAAGAAAAGGGACTCCACAATACACCCACGAATTAAATGTTCAGGTGGAAAAAAAAAAGTTGTGAAGTCTAGGGTTTAAGTATCCTGGAAAGGTCGCCATTTATCGCCAACCCTGATCAGTATTGGCCCGTGTGTGATATAACTCTATGTGGCGAACCAGGATCAACAACAACTGCCAATACATCATCCACCAAATTAGGTATAAACAGTAAACTAATAAAATAAATTGATGATTAATAATACACAAAGAAGGTAAACAAGAGGTAGACAACAGGTAAACAGCATTGAAATTATAACACAAAGTAACTTTAACCTAACGTCAGTCTTACACTACGCCACAGTATAAAGGAATAATGAAGACCGAGACAGGAGTGACCAACAGTCTCACGTAAGAGATCGAGAATGATACAACATCACAACACAGGCTACTTTACCACAAGGTTGTACAGTAAGGCCGTCAGCGCTGGATTCGTCCGTCAACCTTATCCTGAGGACGAAAGAAGAGGGTGAAGGACCTTACACTGTCTGAGGCTGAGCGTGAACTGACTGTGTGGGGTCGTGGGGTCGTGTATTGCCTTACGAACCCTCATATCTATGAAAATGTGAATCCGATCCACCACCGTCAAGTATAGTTTGGAACAGTGACGCAGTAGTTAAGTATTATTCACACAAGCTATGGTCTTCCTTACTAAAACCATTGTTATTTATACAATTCACAGAAATAACTCACACATGAACACACGAAGCCTCGAATCAACACACACACACGCACACACCCACAGATAACTTTCCTAAATGGTGTCAGTGGCGGCAACATTTGACACGTGAGGTCATAACTCATGTCACCTCACGTCAACAGCCTTTCATATTAGTGGTGAGGTCATAACTCATGTCACCTCACGTCTACAGCATCTCATCTTGGTAGTGAGGTCATAATTCATGTCACCTCACGTCAACAGCCTAACTTTGAGAAACATTAATATAAACAATAAAGGGATTTTGTCCTAGCTGGCTTTTGCCCCCCTCCCCCTCCCCCCCCCCTGGGAAATGTTCAGCGGAACCTATAACCTAATCTAACTTAACCTAATCTGGTATTTAATCACCAGTAGAAATAAACTAGTGTGTCGAACCTTCAGGTGATCCGTGAATAAAGCTCAAGAGAATTATATCAATGGATTTAAAAGGTGAAATGTAACTTTTATATACTCTTATTGAACTCACTAATTGACTACAGATTAAAATTTAAACTACTTAATTCAGTGGTTGAACATCAGAGAGACAGTTTAGAGAGAAGCACTGTTTGGATGTCAGTACAAAGCCAGGGGGTAAAAATGGATTCACCTGATGATTAAGGTGGACGGACTTTTGGGCCACGGACATCTGAGCCACGGACATCTGAGCCACGGACATTTGAGCCACTAACGTTCTCCTTCACGAAGATTGTGGCTTATCCCAGGAAAAAAATAACATAAAAAAGTCACAATATATATATATACTTTATATAGAAGCTCATTTATATAAGGATTATTGTTCAAGATATTTATTTTTCTGACTGACTCTGAACATCGAGAAATGGTACCGGCATGAACGCCATCTGTTGGTGAATAAAGGGGCTAATTTTTGGTGGTTCAAACTGGAAATTCGAAGCTTCATTGTCAATGAAGGAGAAGGTTTACCAAAATACCTCGTCAAGGGTTTGAGAACATAATATGATTATTATTTTCTTTGACTATGCACTCAAACCACTATACCCACTATACATATTATCCAATATACTATAGGAATAGCCGTGTGTCTGCGTGTGTGTCTGTTCTGGGCAGCCGAAACGGCAAAATCGTTTTTCATCAAACTTGGTGGAAAAATCGCAAAAAATTCGTAGAGTGGAACAAACCTGGTCCCATGTCGATGGTTTCTTTAGGAAGGCATTATTTAACCATTTTATTTACGCTGGAAAACGATGCAGGGCTACAGACTTGACTCACCCTCATTCGCTGTCAGCCGGACGGGCGTTGCGGGCTTGCCAAGCACGAGCAACGAGCATTCAAACTTCTACCGGGCAAGAAGGGCCAACGATCACTTGTACATACTATTATCACTCTCTCTTAATAATAAAATCCAAAAGGTAAAACAAACACAAACAAATTACAGATTAACATACATCATTTATTAAAAATATTGAGAAAAAATTACATCTTTATCTACTTATTTCTGGACGGGATAAAATAATTTCACAGGTAAACTATCTATACTAATGTTGTTTTTTTGTGACAATATAAAAACTTTGGTGCTTCATTTGACTCCTGGGCGGCTGGTTTGAACACTTATTGATATGAGCAAGAGGTTCTTGAATACTATGATCGAGAAAGTGAACCTTTAATCGACACAGTAAGCCCCTGGGTCATAATACTTATAATACACTTATTAGTAAAGTGTGTGTGTGTGTGTGTGTGTGTGTCTGTGTGTGTGTGTGTGAAACAGTTAGTATAAGTGAAAATAATAACTTATTCTTACAATAACTTGTTTACGTAAGTTAATAACACACATAAGTAAAAACACTTCACTCATCACTATAATCATCACACAGTGGGCGGCCATCACACAGTGGGCGGCCATCACACAGTGGGCGGCCATCACACAGTGGGCGGCCATCACACAGTGGGCGGTCATCACACAGTGGGCGGCCATCACACAGTGGACGGTCATCACACAGTGGACGGTCATCACACAGTGGATGGTCATCACACAGTGGACGGTCATCACACAGTGGACGGTCATCACACAGTGGACGGTCATCACACAGTGGGCGGCCATCACACAGTGGGCGGCCATCACACAGTGGGCGGTCATCACACAGTGGGCGGCCATCACACAGTGGGCGGCAGTGACACAGGGTAAAGACATCTTCCATAAAACAAAGGTAAAAATATTCCTATACAAAGACAGACGTTAATACATCTCTCGCAGAACAAACATAAAGGTGTCTGCCTGAGAATAAACTACAGAAGATGGCTAATTTATTCTACGACGAAAGATAAATAAAAATATACTGAGAAATCTACACTCGAACAGACATCTAACGTAGAATTAAAAGCATCACGACCACGTTTAAGGGGATGGGGGTCGTGTGTGTGTGTGTGTGTGTGTAGGGCGTGTGTGTATGGGGCGTGTGTGTGTATATGTGTGTGTGTATGGGGCGTGTGTGTGTGTGTGTGTGTATGGGGCATGTGTGTGTGTATGGGGCGTGTGTATGGGGCGTGTGTGTGTGTATGGGGCGTGTGTGTGTGTGTATGGGGCGTGTGTGTGTGTCTGGGAGTGAAAGGGGGATATGGCAGACAGGCAGACAAGACACACTGGTATTGTACAAGTTGTATTAGGTCATCATAACTCATTCATTAATTATATAAACAACATAGATAATCACCAATTGAGACGAAACCAATCAGCCTTTTGGCATCAGTAATTTCAACCTATTCCCCTCGTGGGATAAAAAACACAACACCCACTATACACTCTACAGTTATTAACCAAGTCTGTATACACCAGCAACAACCACTAATGCACACAACAGGTCAAAACTATACAGTAATACTTGATCAAATAATATTGGTTTAATCTGTGCCAACACATCACATAGGTTATGGTTTTAATTCATTTTATCTGTACAATCCCGGCCATGAGCAGTGTGTGTGTGTGTGTGTGTGTTAGGCCTTCAGTTCTCGTAGTATGGTAGTAAGGTGGTTCATACTTGTGGTAGGATGGTTCATAGATGTCGTAGGATGGTTCATAGTTGTCGTAGGATGGGCATTGTTGTGTTAGGATGGTTCATAGTTGTGGCAGTATGGTTCACTATTCTTCAAGATTCACCGTCGTGTTAATATGGTTCACAGGGGATGGTTATATGGTATAGGCAGTGGTAATGGGGTTTTATATTTCATAACAGTAGAGTTAACTGTTGTGGTCGTATGGCAGAGTGATTCACAGTTTAGTTTGTACACGAAGATTTAAGTTCGTATCCACTTCTTTTTTTCCATCTGGATTGAACCACTTCTATATAACGTACTTGAATAAACTTCAACTGGATTTTAACATATTTTTTTATTTCTCTCTTCAGTTTGGAATAATTACTAAGACATAATTTATCCTTCATTCATCATATATTTTCTTTCTTTCTTCTATTTCGTGTAGTTTTGTAATCTTCAAGTCTTCCTGGAGAGTAGCCAGCTGATGACGAAGGCGATGAGGATGGTAAGAACTGAGGGGCTGAAATATTTTGTGCCGCCCGTGAAATGGAAGACGTGTACGTTAGCGCCAGCCTCCTTCCAGGGGTTGGAGCCATCGTCAAAATGCATGGGACAGCGGTCGTCTGGAACATGGAATTTGTTAGTTTGTTTCTCTCTTTCTGCTTCTTTATACATATGCCATTTAAAACACCGTACTGTACATATTACCTACGCTATAACACATTCACTATTAAATAATATAATTACGTCACCCATGTATAACCAATTTCTGAGATTCATAAAGCATTGCTAAAAAAATGGTCATGAGAATTGTTGGTAAGAAATATTGCATAAAAACACTACATCCTTTCATGAAACGAGAGAGTTAACTCCCAAGCTGCGACAGATACCAAGGCAGTTATCCCTCCATTTTTCTTTGTTTACTTACGTTCTCTTTCATATTCGACCATGTTGAGCGTGACAGCAGCGCCATTTCCTGTACCAAGGACCGTCTGTTTTAAGTTACAGAAGGGCCCTACGCTCTGTGACATCAATATCTTGTTCAAGTCAGCCCTCTGGTATACCTGCGTCAGGACAAAAATACCTGTCACTTCAGAGAACACCTGTGCTCATATATCACTCATGATTATCCAGTTAATAGGTTAACACAACCCGACTTGTTCCCATCCACCACCTGTCTTCCCATAACACAAGTTTACCTCTCACCTCTATACTCAATCACCAATTGTACTTAACTAACACAAGTTTTCATCCGACACCAATATTTATCCAGCGTTTGTAACTCATCAAGCAACTTTATTTTGTTTTAATTAATCTTAATTTTGACTTTATTTTACTTTAATATTTTGTGTTTACTTATTACTTATCAAGCATCCATATTCATCCATCACTTGTACTCCATCCAACAATAAAATATATACCCAGGACTCATCCAGGACTCACCCAGGACTCATCCAGGACTCACCCAGGACTCATACTCACCCAACACCTGTACTTGGAATACGGGTCAAGTTCGTCATATGTGATGAGGTATGACTGGAGATTTTCCTTCCAGTAGCCTACACACTTGAGCTTGTAGTCCGGGTCAGCTGTTGGTGATAGAGAACAGCTGTTAGTGGTATAAAGCACAGCTGTTGGTGATAGAGACCAGCTGTTAGTGGTATAAAACACAGCTGTTGGTGATAGAGAACAGCTGTTAGTGGTATAAAACACAGCTGTTGGTGATAGAGAACAGCTGTTAGTGGTATAGAACAGCTGTTAGTGGTATAAAACACAGCTGTTAGTGGCATAGAACAGCTGTTAGTGGTATAAAACACAGCTGTTAGTGGCATAGAACAGCTGTTAGTGGTATACATAAATCACAAAGATATAAGGTAAACAGATCATGCATAATAAATAAACACGATACTAATTGGTTAAGAAGTCACATGCTTTTTTTTTTCATGCCCATTTCTTCTATTTCAACTTAATAAAATATACATATATCCATACACCAAGGAAAACACACACACACACACACACACTCATAATATAAAGCTTCGTGACAGGTGCGTTAGTGTCCTCTGTCGTAGTGGAGGAGGTGCGTGCAGGTTGTCTGTCACACGCACACACGCACACACAAGACTCGTGAATCAATACCCGACATAAACATGAGAACCAGTGCGTGTTGATACCACCCCTCCCCTCCCCCCACGTTGCTAAAGGGGGGGGGGAATAGTAGAGGGAAGGGGGGGTAGAGGGTCTGTTTACCATATACAGTACTTGACGTGGCCACATAAAGGACGCCTCTGGGTTTGTTTACATTCTTAACGCCGATCAAATCATAAGGAACTGATACAAAAAAAAATAATGTGTTCTGGATCTTGAAAAATTTAGTCCTTATAAATCTTTAAAGTTAACGTGGGGATTAAAGAACTTAGCACAGCCTTGGTTGGGTTAGGTTAGGTCAGGTGTTTAATCAGTTAAATAAAACTAGGGTGTCTAATCTTCACGTAATTCAATAATTTTTTTTTGTTTCTACTTTCACAGCGACAAAACATCCATTGAAAGCCAACATAAAGATACATCAAATTATCTACTGGTGATAAAGAATAATATTGATTACATTCGCGGGTGTTCGTGTGGATGGTGGATACATACAGTAAATATCCACATGACGTCCGTAATGATCCATGGATATACACTTGTCCACCTCGATCCACACTTCTTTCTGGGCGTCGTCACATACAGACATATCAGAGATGTTATCCTTACAGTAGATGCCTGGCCGGGGTGCTACAGTTACTCCCCCTAGCACCCTAGTGACGAAAGGTAGCTCACCCCTCTGAATGAAGTTGAATTTTCCAGCGATGGGGCATTTGACGGCCAGCGGGTCCTTGCCTGGCGAAAAGGACAGGAGGAAGAGGAAGAGGAGAAAGATGGTGAGAAGGAGGAATAGAAAGATGGTGAGAAGGAGGGATAGGAAGATGGGTATAGGAGAAAATTAAGGAGGAAAAAGAGCAAGAAGAGGAGGAGGGATGCGAAGGTGGGTATAGCAGAAAGATAAGAAGGAGGAGGAGGAAGTGGATAAAAAGGAAGAGGGGCAAGAATGAAAATGGAGGTGGAGGATAAAGAGAAAAGGGATAAAAAATGACGAAAGAGAAGGTAAAAAAAATAAATGAAAATGATGGATAAAGAAGATAATGAAAGAACAGATACGTGAAATAATTGACAAAAACCTTGAGAGAAAGAGGAGAATAGGAAAATTAAATAAATAAGAAGAGATAAAATACAAAGGGATTAGGCAAAGGGAGAGAAACAGTCAGAAGGACGGAGAGAGAAGAGAAGAGAAGAGAAGAGAAGAGAAGAGAAGAGAAGGAGAAGATCTAACTTGAGTGGTACAAAATAAACATAGAGGGTGTGTGTGTGTGTGTGTGTGTGTGTGTGTCTGAATATAGGAGATCTAACATGTACAAAAATTCAGGTGCCACAGGGGAAGCTTCTTAACACACCTGTAATTAGACACATGTTTTGAGTCAGGTGTTCAGCGGTGACTGACTGTACTCTCTCTCTATCTCTATCTCTCTCTCTCTTTCTCTCTCTCTCTCTCTCACCCCTGATACAACACCTCATATCAATAATAACCTGGACATATTAAGACAGGTTAATGAAGAAGGTATTAATTAAGCCAAGGCAGGTAAGTAGGTCACTTTAGATACTGGATGACGTGGCTAACCTCTGCAGTCCTTCTCTCCGTTAGAATGAGGAAAGGAGAGATTGCTGAAGAGGAAAACCAAGATGATGTTTTTGCAACTTTCTAACAGTGTCTCAAAAAAAAAATGTATATACGTCAAAATTTTCTTTCATGGGAGATTTCTAAATGGTAATATTATCCTCACTCGTTGATCAGTGGAAAAAAATATTGTAATGTTAGTATGTATTCATTTTTTGGAGTTACCAAATACATTATGAGATTTTACTTTCAATTTTACTTTCAATTTTACTTTCAATTTTACTTTCAATTTTACTTTCAATTTTACTAGAGTAGAGCAACATGGAACAGCAGGAGTGAGAGAGAGATGGAGGAGGAGGATTAAATACTCTTACAGCAATAGAAGATTAATTCCTTTTAACATAAACAAATGCCTATTCTTCCACTATACATCACACAATATATACCACAATACACCACCACCATAGCACACCACCACACCAAGACACCACACCACACCACACCACACCAAGACACCACACCACTTCGTCACATACTATAAATATCGGTGTGTCTGCCGTAAGCATCCACGCTGATACAGTAATGAGCGTCAATCCAAATCTCCTTCTGGTCACGGTCGCACACAGACAGGTCCGAGATATTCTCCCTGCAGTAGATGTGGTCCCAGGGAGACTTGGTCACACCCCCAAGGATCCTAGTTTCGAAGCGGAGTTCTCCCTTCTGCGTAAAGTTAAATTTACCCGCTACAGGGCACTTGACGGGAACCGGGTCTTTAGCTGGTGGGACAGGGAAGGCAGTTAGGAGCTGATGTTGTAGTTATAGGAGTTAAAAATGAAACATAATTGAAAGTATATCTCTGGTACAGTGAAGGAATGTAATGTGGCTTTTCTACATAAACAAAATTATATGATCCAACACAAGTCAAATTATATAAAAAAATAAATACAAATTACTTTTTGAGTTTGAGAAAATAAAGAAAAACATAAACCATTGGATGAAGAGAGAAATGAAGAATGGTTCTTAATGTAAAGAAAATGATATAATCCAACATAAGTCAAATTCACACACACACAAAAAAATTAAAATACTTCCTCAGAAAAAAAATCAGAAGAGAATCCACACTAATAACTCAGGAACTGTTCTTTCAACATAATTAAAACATTACAGAGACAAAGAGGAAAAAAAATAATTGGAGAGATTAAAAATAACGAGAAGGTCAAATTAAAAGTCAAACCAGAGGATGGGGGGGGGGGGAGGGGGGGGAGGGGGGAGTTCCGGAAGGGTATACACACTGAATGAACAACACCTGACGTGACTAGAAACTTCCTTAATTAAATGACAGGTGTCCCTCTCCTCAGAAACCTAACCTAACCTAACACACCATCCCACTGAAGAAAACTCACCTAACATCAAGTCGTAGTTCCACTCCCGGCCACTCTTGAACTGTATATAGGAGCAGACAGTCGAGAAGTCCTCCAGGATCATTTCTAAACCCTTCCTGAACCTGATGATGCTGTGGTGACGAGGTACGAACTCGAAGCACACGTAATCCTTCTGACTGTGGACACAAAGAGAGAGAGGCAAGCAGTGAGGATCGTCAGGTTGTTGAGTCTTTTTTATAGTTTTTTTTTTCTTTCTCATCCATACAAACGTCATTTTCTTCCTCCTTTTCATCCTAATATCCTTCAGTCTCTCTCTCTCTCTCTCTCTCTCTCTCTTATTATTTCCCAGCATCTCTTTATTCCCATTTATCAACCTTTGTATCCTAACCCTTCACCCAAACCTTTCACCTTTAGCCTTACCATTCACCCTTGCCCTTCACTTTCACTCTTACCTTTCAGCTTTACCCTTCACCTCCACCCTTACCCTTCACCTCCACCCTTACCCTTCACCTCCACCCTTACCCTTCACCTCCACCCTTACCCTTCACCTCCACCCTTACCCTTCACCATCACTCATCCTAATATCTTCCCCATTCCTCCCCTTCTTTACCCTCGTCAGCCTCTCCCCGCCATCTCTCTCTACCTCCCATGGGCCCTCCCTCGCCACCAACACCCACCAGCCGTCAATGTTCAGCCTAGCCATCATGTATCGGTTGTCTCGCTGTTCCTTGCACACGTAGATGGTCTTCCTGAAGCGGCCTTCGTCAGGGTAAGTTGTCTCGATGATGTGGGTCTGGTTGATGAAGACGTCGGCCTCCGTGTGAGCCGTGTTGACCCACTCCCCGCTGAAGTTCTTCGGCAGGAGACACCCAGGGTTCACCGTCTCCAGCTTGACTGTGGGAGGGACGAGAGGGTGTGGGTGTGTGTGTGTTAGAAATATGGTTTTATTATCTTGTAAAAAAATCAGTACAAAAATGCTACTTCAGTAATGCTGTTGTTGTTATTATGATGTTATTACTTATCTTCAACAACGAAGGTATTTAAGCTCATATCAAGGTTAGTAATACACTGTAGTCCAACAACTTTGAAAAATTATGAGAGATAGAACTCTTCAGTACAGTAATGCGCGACGAGCAGCTGTGACCATGAAACGACCGAGCACACCTGCTGCCAGCTCTCCCACCTGTGTAAACGCGATTCCAAGATACATTTTTTTTCGACTCTTTTTCATATTTAAAAGTAATTTTCAGGGACATTTTCTTTACGAAGTTTAAATGTATTGTGATTACCATAATACAGTACAAGAGACATATCACACCATAAGGTCATACCCATAAGGTCATACCCATAAGGTCATACCCATAAGGTCATACCCATAAGGTCATACCCCTCCTACAGCCACGACTTACCAGGGGTCATGCGAAACCTAAATGGACTGTTCTCTGGTGTCTTGAGCACAGAACACTCCGGGGTGATGGAGTGGCCCATGTACAGGTCATCGTCCCTGTTCCTGACAAAGCATCGATACTTCTCGTCCTTCCTCGACTCCTTGGTGTTGGCCACGGCAAAGAAGTGGTTCTTCTCTATAAACCAGTCACCCAGGCACGAGAACTCCTTGGCTGTGTGTCAGGGTATAGAGATGAACGATGAATAGCATTGGTAAGGGTGAATAACATAGATGATGACGATGAACAACCCTAGAGATGAAGATGAATGACAACAACTCTTAAGGATATTATTATTAAGAATGAACTCCTGACAGAAATATTACCAGCGACTCTTTAACTTCTGACTATAACAAACAAGAAGAACACTCGCTACTTACTGCCACCAAATGACTCCTTAATCCCTTCACACTTCTTATAACTGATGTTGAACTTCTGATTAGCGATGAGAAACTGGTTACCAGGTTCCTGACACGACTGAATCTTCGCCCCAGGATGGTTACATTCTCCTGTGAAACTGTTTAAAAGAAAAACCCGAAATGTTGAGTAAAATTGCTTTGGGGGGGAAATCTTTTCAGGTAAGTCGTATATATTAAACAGGAGACAAAACAACAACAGCCTTCATTGACTCACCTAAATCTGTTCTGGTATGCGAAGTGCCATACACCCTCTATGGCCGAGCGACAGTTCTTGGGGACATAATTCTCATTAAACATGGTGACCAAACCCTGGTTCCTGTCCAGCTCAGCACACACCTCCTCCAGAGACGGCTTGTAGTTTTCCTTGAAGGTGTAACAACCAGCTGGGGGGAGGGAGGGGGGAGGTGAGAGTGACAGGGTGTTGTGATGTGTTACTAAAGATACCTGTACCTACACCTGTAACTTTACCTGTATTTGTATACTGTATTGTCAGTCTGTATTGTTACTTCAGAATAAATATTGTAACGTGGATACAGCTCCTATTCTCTCTCTCTCTCTCCACTCTCACCCACCCTCCCACACTTAATCCTACCCTCCTATCCACTATTCCCTAATTCCTCCTACCCTTTACTCTTCACCCCCTTCTCAGTCCCTCACCCCTCTCTCTCACCCCCTCACCCTCTCCCCCTCTCACTCCCACTCTCTCTCACCACACTTACTTCCACTCTTCTGTAGTACATTGACGGTGCGAATGTGAAACCTGACGCAGTAGTAACACTCGTCCCGGCGGAAGAGGAAAGCCTTATAGTCATATCTGTAGACCTTCAGGGCCACGCAGGTTCCGTGGTCAGACATGCTGGTGCCATCGATCTCCGTGATGGTGTTGGTGCCCTTCTCGAAGCTGAACCAAGACCCACGGAGCAAAAAGGGAATCACACAGTTTCCCTGGATCTCTGTAGGCAGTGGGTGGGGGGATATGGAGTTAGTGTATAAGGTAGAGGGAAATGGAGTTAATATATGGAATGTCGAGGGGAAGTGGAGTTAGTGTGTAAGGAATAGTTGAAACACACCAAAGAAAATGTAAATAGGAAATAAATTTACGTTTTGATTGGTTGTTTGTAGACATTAAAACACAGACCGTCGTTACAAGATAAAGGATAACACTACTGTAGTATTGACAATGTTCATTATCACACTAATAATAATTAATAATAATAAAATAACAATAATAATAATAATAACAATAATAATAACAATAATAATAATAATAATAATAATAATAATAATAATAATAATAATAATAATAATAATAATAATAATTGTACCTGAATATTATAGAAATACAATATCAGTGAATTATTATATAGTGTAATGTTAACCAGTGGTCTAACACGAATCATGACCTAAGGTGATTCTTATAACTTTTTCTCCCCAGGTAAATATTGTTTTTTTTTTTGAGGAAAATTATAAAAGGTATAAGGATAGTTTGTTGATGTTTGTTGATGTTTGTTGATGTTTGTGGGTGTTTGTTGATGTTTGTTGATGTTTGTTGATGTTTGTTGATGTTTGTTGATGTTGGTTGATGTTTGTTGATGTTTGTTGATGTTTGTTGATATTTGTTGATGTTTGTTGGTGTTTGTGGATGTTTGTGGATGTTTGTTGATGTTTGTTGATGTTTGTTGATGTTTGTTGATGTTTGTGGGTGTTTGTGGATGTTTGTTGATGTTTATTGATGTTTGTTGATGTTTGTGGGTGTTTGTTGATGCCTTGATCTTTTCACACACACACACACTCACGCCGCACACACACACACACACTCACACACACATACACACACACACTCACGCACACACTCACGCACACACACACACACACACACACACACACACTCACGCACACACTCACGCACACACTCACGCACACACACACACACACACACACACTCACAATCACACATACACACACACTCACGCACACACACACACACACACAAACACGTCTCTCTTGTTCGGTGCCATTTATTCTTACTTTGTGTAAGTTGTTATGTGACAGGGCGGTTGGTGTCAACGACCGTCTTGACAGATATTGCAAGTCAATATCAGTCCCATTCATTGACAACTGGGACAACTTCTACGGCAGAAGGGACCCTTATGCGAGGGATGGGGTGCACCCGTCTCGGGAAGGGGTGGCAACCCTGGCTGGGCCTCTCGAGAGGGCAGTTCAAAGGATATCAAAGCATTTAAACTGCTAGGGGAATTTATGGGCACGGGGGTGGAGGAGACTGCAGTGGGAGAGGGTAAACAAAGTGAAAGGTTACAGGGAAATAGTGTTAGGAATGATGACAAAACTAAATTAGACAGGGAGTTTAAACCTAAGAGACGTAAAGGGAGGACTCAGAACACGACTAACTTAAATGTCTACTACGTGAACAGTAGAAGTATGAGAAACAAAATGGATGATATTAGGGCCTTGGTATGTACCGAAAAAATCGATATAATAACATTCACTGAAACATGGATCAACCTAGACCCACGTGAGTTACCGGTCGAATACCAAATTGCGGGTTTCAAATTGTTCCATACCGATAGGCAGACCAGAAAAGGAGGCGGAGTAGCAATCTATGTCAGGGATAATCTGAAGAGTGAAATAAATAAGGAAATAAAAACTGAGCAGAATAAAGAAACAATTTGGATACAATTAATCGACGGTAGGGAAAAATTAATCATAGGAGTAATATAAAGACCTCCCAATCTTGATAGAGTTAACGAGCGACTTATCTGGGATGAAATGTGCAGGGCTTCTATACACAACAAAGTCTGTATAGTAGGCGATTTTAACCTAGACCAAATAGATTGGACTGACCTTACGGGTAACTCAGTATCAGAGGATTTCCTCGAAACGATCCAGGACTGTTTCGTAAGTCAACATATAACCGAACCCACCCGGGGTAATAATATACTCGATTTAGTTCTGTCGAACAGAGAAAACCTCATTAGCAATGTCGAGGTAGGGAACGAACTTGCAAACAGCGATCACAAAGAAATTAGATTCCAGTTAGATTTTCAGGTCAGACGCAAGGAAAATTCCATTAAGTCCGAGATTTCAGAAGGGCAAACTTTGATAGTTTAAAGAGGCAGCTGAGAGAGTGGGTGTCACGCTTGGGCGTGAACCTGACAGATGACACCGACCTGATAACGAGATCTGAGATTGTCGAGTTCCACGACAATTTAAATAATGAGTTATTTAATGCATAAAGGCAGAACATACCATACAAAAAACTCAGATCAGACAACAATGACCCTAAATGGATAAATAATTATTTAAAAGACATTATTGGCCAAAGGAAGGCTATAGGTAGAAGGATAAAGCGTGGCGAAATTTACCTCCGGGAGTATTATAGGGTATTGGTCGGCAGGGTTAAGACCGAGATAAGAAAAGCAAAGAGGAATAATGAAGTGAAGATAGCAAGGGAGGCGAAGACAAACCCCAAAGGATTCTACCAAATGTATCAAACTAAAACACGAGACAAGATTGGACCAATACAGTCAGATACCGGCGAGCTAACTGATAACGACGGAGAAATGAGCAATAATCTGAATAAATCTTTTTCAACAGTTTTCATAACCGAAAATTTAAACATGATACCCGAGGCTCCGACTCTATTCAGAGATAGTGAAGAAAACAAATTAAGCGAGATAGTAGTGACTAGTAACGATGTTAATAAGCAAATAGACAAACTGAAGCCTATTAAGTCACCTGGTCCCGATGAGATTTTTGCCAGATTATTAAAGGAATGTAAGGATGAGCTTAGTATGCCCTTAGCAAAGTTGTTTAACATGTCATTAAAAACAGGTGTAGTGCCAGAATCCTGGAGGATAGCGAATGTAATACCGATTTTCAAGAAGGGGGATAGATCACTATCCTCTAACTACCACCCAATCAGTCTAACATCAATAGTAGGCAAATTACTAGAATCAATCATTTCAAACTCTATTCGAAACCACCTGGAGAAGCACAAGTTGATCAATGATTCCCAACATGGCTTCACAAGGGGGCGTTCATGTCTAACTAATCTAATAACATTCTTTTCATCAGTTTTCGAATCGGTGGACGAGGGGCACAATTATGATGTGGTATATCTCGACTTTAGCAAAGCCTTCGACAGAGTCCCCCATGAAAGACTAATTAAAAAGGTAGAAGAGCATGGCATCAAAGGTAGTATCCTTAACTGGATTAGGGCGTGGTTAAGGGACAGGAAACAGGGAGTGAGCATAAATGGCACTAAATCGCATTGGAGCAACGTCATTAGTGGAGTTCCCCAAGGCTCAGTACTTGGACCATTATTATTTATTATATACCTAAACGACGTAGATATCGGCATAGACAGCAACATAAGTAATTTGCTGATGACACTAAAATAGGACGTGTAATTAAATCTGACGAGGACTCAGCAAAACTACAGGAAGATTTAAACAAATTTTTCGAATGGTCTGAAAAATGGCAGATGAAATTCAATGTGGACAAATGTAAAGTATTCAGTATAGGAGATGTAAACAGGGAAACCAGTTACCAGATGAACAACGATGCCATTGTGAAATCCGACTGCGAGAGAGATTTAGGAGTAATGATAAGTAGGAATCTTAAGCCAAGTAAACAATGTGTTTTTGCTAGTAACAAGGCTAATAAAGTACTTGGGTTCATACAAAGGAGTGTTAGTTACAAGACTAGCGAGGTCATCTTAAAATTATATCTTGAGCTTGTGAGACCTCACCTGGATTACGCAGTTCAGTTCTGGTCACCGTATTACAGAATGGATATAGAATCCTTGGAAAGAATTCAGAGGAGAATGACAAGACTAATCCCGGGCATTAGGAACCTTGAGTACAAAGACAGGTTAAAGCATCTTAATTTGCACTCCCTCGAGAGACGTAGAGTGAGGGGCGACATGATAGAGGTGTATAAATGGAAGTCAGTGTTAAACAAAGGGGACATTACAAAGGTACTCAAACTATCCAACCAGGAGCGAACTCGCAACAATGGTTTTAAATTAGACAAATTTAGATTTCGGCGTGAAATAGGTAAACACTGGTTTGGAAACAGAGTAGTGGAAGAGTGGAACAAGTTACCAAATATCATCATTAACTCGAATACGCTGGATAGCTCCAAACATAGGTTGGATGCTTATATGAGCAATAGGGGTTGGGTGTAAATGGGACTGCCCAGTATGGGTCAATCGGCCCACTGCAGTTTCCTCCATTCTTATGTTCTTATGTTCTTATTCATTTATGTGATAATATATATGTGATGATACTGCATAAGATTAACGTCATTATCTCAGGTTGTTCACTTACTTTCATCTCTATCATGAGTGAATGACGTCATCACAGTGATTGAATCCTATTATGACGTCATCACCGTGATTGAATCCTACTATGACGTCATCACCGTGATTGAATCCTACTATGACGTCACCAACACAATAGATGGTCCCATTTCAAGTGGTGTACAAAGCAGCGTACATCCTCCTGCTAGTGTGTGTGTGTGTGTGTGTTTCATAACATTACCCAATTATACCCTTGAATTACGTTATTTTAGTTCGTTTTATAGATTAAATTTCGATTATCCTCATCATAAGGCTGCCAATATAATGACTTAAGACAAGTTTGAATTATAGAGAAGACATACGTAAATTATGTCTGGCATCGACGTTAATTACGATAATAAGTTTTTAGAACAATACCAACTCTCTCTCTCTCTAACTCTCTCTCTCTCTCTCTCTCTCTCTCTCTCTCACCTGTGGGGCGTGAGAGAAACAGGAAACACGAGGTGAAGTCCCTCAGCTCATAGACGGTAAAGTTTGAGGTATGGGTTGGTAACTTCAAGACCCTCTACCCTTCTAGACGTCATCCTACCCCTATTATCACTCTTAGTATCGGATTTATGGCTGAGAATTACGATAGTTTCTCAAGGTTGAAGCCAAAACAAATTTTCGAGAGAGAAATCTACTCCTGGGAAACACATCACGGTATTGTTTTGGTCCTTGGCTGAACCCATATTAGTTCCAACAATGAGTCGTCGTTGTTGTGAAGTCTCTTAACTCTCACTTATTATCCCGGTTTCCTCTCACTCGTAGATCTACTTACCTCTCACAGTTATACACGCCAGCAGCACAAGAAGCACTAGAAATCTCGGTAATAACTTCATTTTTGTCGCGAGTATAAGATCAAGCACAAGAGAACATATTTTTCAAGCTTGGTGAGCCCGTGTACTGGTCATTGGGTGTGGCGGAGGGGGCTGGGGGGTGCTGGATTGGGGGAGGTGTGATAACAGTTGCCATTTCTTGGTGGTGATTTTATTAACATTCAAGTCTTTCCTCTCTCTACATTAAGGTTTTGATATTCTTACGCCTTTATGGTTATATATAGTGTGTATATATCAGGTGGATGTTGATGTTACATCCAGGTGATTATCTGCTTCCATTGATAAAATGACGTTACTTTATCGAGGCGGCAATTGTGTCACGTTATCAAGACTTCATTAAAATAGTTATGGAATGGCAACACTGAATGGGCGTACAGATAATTAATGATGACTCGTATATTACAAACTTAATGATGTTTTTAAACGTAAGACAAGTCACCGTACACAAATATTCTTTAACAAGACAAATTGGATATCTACTCCAGTGTGTGGCATCGATTATGTAGCCCCAGGTAATGTTAGGGTGTAGGCTGAGCCACCTGGCGGCCAGGTAGGGAACTATGTATGTTCTAATTACCGAAAACGACATACTCCATGGGTGACTATGATGAAAATAAGTACACGGTAAAGTTTCATAATTTTATACGTTAGAATCATTCTTAAGATGGTTTCTGTTTGTGCTGTTCCGTTCAAAAGTTTACGACACACTGACGGTAACCTGCAGATGAACGGACCAGCCATCATCACCTTGTAAGGGCGTAACTCTGCAAGTGTTTTTATTTATCTTTCTCTCTATATTATACCTTAGGTTTCTCTATATTTTTCTATTTTATATTTATATTATTGTTTATATTGTTGTATTTTCTATGTTGTTTATTTTCAATTATTTATATAATTATTTTTTATCCTCTCTCTTATCTTAGTTCATCTATATTTCTTATCATGGCTCAATTATATCCAATACAATGGATTAACTTGGGAAAACCATTTCATTCTTTACCACACAGGCTTTTATTAAAATATACTGATATTGTCCACTGTGGGGTAGCGTGGTAGTGAGCTTAGGCACGTGAGGTACAGTGGTTATTTTCAGAGCAATTATTACCAGGAAATGAGCAGTAATACTCGTAGGTTACTAATTCAATATTTATTAACATACGGAGTGAACAAGATGATAATTAGATACACTCAGACAAGACTAGACCACTGGGCGCTGATGTTGTTTACTACACAAACAGCCGAAGCTCGGTTGCTAGGAACGTAGGGGTAGACGCGATGCAGCGTGTCTTAGCACTTTACTTTTACTTTTACTTTATCCTCTTCACCACTGATCGGCTTGTCAGCCGCTTGAGCGATCGGTCACGTCTCTGTTACGCACGGTTGGCAAGTACTGGGCATGCACTGGCTCCTGAATGTACCTGAACCCGCTCCAGTGTTGGTCAAGTCTGGTCTTGAAAGAACTCACACTCGGTGCCGTCACAACACTTTCTGGTAGATTGTTCCAAGAGTTTACAACCCTCACTCCGAAAAAGTTTGCCCTCACAGTTCCCCGGGTGCTCCTGACCTCAGATTCTAATTTAGCCATATTAAAGACATCCTTCAATGAACATTGCCCATAGACGGCTACCGAACCTCGGTAGTGGTGACAACACAGACAGTGCCTGGAGATGCGATGAGGAAGAGTCACGAGAGTGTGAGGTTGGTTGGTGATACGGAGAGAAGAGAGCATCAGCTCTGAGGGTGCAGGAAGGGTACAGTACAAGGTGAAGTTCAGAAGTGGGAAATATAGGAGGAGGTTGACAGCAGGTGGGCTATCCACCTTGCGGAGACGAGGTTTTGTCTTCCGTCTACAGTGCTGCATTAGAGGACTCTTGCGGCTAGGGAAGGCCGGTGTCAGCTAAGCTAAGCTAAGTTGTTCTATTTGATGTTTGCTGGGGGCATATTATGTCCCTCCAGATCCTTGTGTGACTGGAGAGTTGTTCCCATCTTTTGGTTCTTTTTCATTGTGTATATAGAGGCTCTGGTTCTTCGTTATCAGTTTTCCTGCTTCTAGGCCACCATCTGTGTGATGTGTTGTTGTTTTCCTCATGTAGTTGGTTTAATATGGGATCCTGTTCTTGGTGGATTTTTTCTCATAGTGCATGTGCTTGGGTGTGTCTTCTGGTGTCGAGTGGGTCTATACTGTGTTCTGTGTGTATGTCTTGTACTGCTATTCTTTCATTGATCTGCTGGTTATCTTGAGTCCTAATATTTTTCCGTTGGCAGCCTATGGTATTTGTTGGTTATTAACAATAATGGGGCAGGGATTTGTTTTTGCGATGTGATTTATTTTGAGTTTTTTTGGACATTGGTTTTTATCTTCCATTTTCGTTCATAGTTATTTATTATCTCTATTTCTCTGCTTGTTCTGACGGCCATCATTTGTTTGGATTTTCCTGGGTACCTGACTATATGTGTGAGGTTTCTTCGTGCATTCGTTTATAAATGGGCATCTGGTAACTCAGCCATTCGCCAGACATGCCATAAAGACTAATTTCGCAATGAGAGAAATTACATTTAAATCAGTTTTTGTACATTTGGTTATGAATATCAGTGTCATGGGTCAGGTGAATTTCTTATGTCTATTTTTATAATCTATTCAGAGATTGAACGTGCCAAAAAAAAGTGAAATGGACGTCAAATACATATGCTAACAACGCTACTTCTACAGGCTCAGCAACACTCCACACAGGGTCCTCTATGGGTATACGTTTAGATCTTGGAGATATAATTCAATTCAATTTCAATTGTTTATTCCTTGATAGAGGAAGCGGGATCCTAGTGCTGTCACTAGGTACCCCTGTACAATGACACCAGAATCATCTGGCAAGTGTGAAAAGTATAAACAGTATAAATATTATAAAGGGGCTTACTAAAGCCTAAGGAAGGAAGGATGTTCCTTTAACACATAATCAATATTATTTACAAAATATCTGGCCAGTATTGGGAGGATCATCGTGTCTCCGTCAGGGGGTCTCTTGGAGATATAAAGTTTGACAGATTCTTGTCAGGAAATTAATCGCTTTCTTAAATAGACAACTGACAATAAACAAACTACAAAGATCAGATTCTCTGAGGTTTGGACATTAAAATAATCTAACTTCAGTAGCAATTGGAAACACATGGCTGTCCCCAAGAGCGAGATTAGTACTTCGTCATTCTTATTGGCAGACTCAACACTCTCGTATTTGACAAGTTTTGCTTACAATAAATGTAGTTGAAGCTTTCAACATCACTCCCAAGCGATCTTGATGTTTTACCTGTAATCAGACATATCTAATACAATATAACATCAGTGGGTTCTCTCTCAATTTCAAATCTCCGAAACTGGCATGAGCTCTGGAGGAAAAACAGTTTCAGAGACACATGACATTGAGAGAAAACGGATGCCTTCGATGGGAGACTCAATAATGAAGACATGTTTCGGGGACTATGGAGCGCAATACGAATCCTAAGATTTGTGTTAACTAACTTGTACCAACGAGATCAGTACAACCTGAACTACGTCCACGCCCAGTTGGAACTGTGCAAGCGTAGGCCGGCGTTTATTCATGACCGTGTGTCTTCTATGCCAGATACTGTATGTTGCATACAGTTATTGAGAAGGGGGGAGGAAGAGACTGGACGAGGTATTAAATGGTAAAGTGGAAAATGGATTTCATTGTCCTTCTAAAATGTGAGTATAATATTAGCGTTAGACATTGATAACCAACAGTACACACACTATAAATGATACTCACAATATGTAGAGGAAAAATATAAATATATAATCTATTCAGGCTCTTGTGGGTGACTGTTGGGGGGAGTATCGCTCACGGCCTTGTGAGTTGTATGGCTGACACGAACCCACAGTAACCTTCCTACGTGTGTCTTTCCTGCTGTAAGGAATTATTAACGGGAGATGATGATTATAATATATTCAAAAGGTTTATCATATTAAATGTATCATCATTATTTGTATTTACTGTAATATACTCGTATATCTTACAATAAATTACTAATAACAGAGGGAAGTAGTAAAGACAACTACCCCTTGACCACTCCAGACACAGAAATAGATACAAGCAGACAGATACATAATATACCAGGGGCGGATCCAGGAGTATAAAAAAGGGGGTCCAAGAAGTTATGGGTGGGGGAGCATAACGAGCCCCCCCCCCCCTCCCTCCCACCTCCCAGAAATTGTTTTGAAATTTGACCAATATCATGGACATTTTGAAGCCATGTGCACTTGATATTAGGAGATATTCTGAGGTCAATGGTAATTACATTTTACTATACAAAAAGGCCTGAGTACAATACAGCGTTAAAGAAAAAGTATTGACATTTGAACACAGCTTATATTGTTAACGTTTGGGACACAATTACATTATAACACAAATACCTAGACAATTGGCCTGTTCCATCGCCATCTCGGCCGTCAATTAATAAACTGACACTCTGAAACAAGTGAACGAATCCATCTGAAACTCGGATTAAGCGTCATACACACACATCATACACACACGTCATACACACACATCATACACGCACGTCATCTTGAAGACTTATTCTGAGAAACTGATATATGAACATTTTTCCCAGCAGTAATCTCATCCATGTTTCATTTCATATCAAGTCTCCTGTCTTTTCTGTTCGGTGTATTAGTGTTGGATATTACAGTGATCACAAACGATAATGGGTCGTTAGTGAGGACCGCTGTTTCATACCACATGTGAAACAAATATGTAGGAGTATGTTGTTCGAGTTTAATTAAGTGTGACAGCGAAGGGTAACCTGACTCAGCAAAACGCACCTGGTTCAGTGTCGTTCTCTTCACGCCTTTTAGTTGTTATCAAGGAGGTCTTCCCGCGGGCACGTGGGTGGAGGTTCACTGATTCCTCACTCCCTCACGTTACCTCTTACTCCCTACCTCTCTCACTCCCTCACCCTCCCTCTCACTCCCTCACCCTCCCTCTCACCCCCTCATAAACAGAACAATTAAGGTTCCACATACTTTATCTCATGATCGTACAAAGAAAATAATATTGCTTATAACTTTAACTAAACACACCC